ACTCACAACCTTCACCGCGCCAACCACTCTGCCCCTGCTCTGAGCTGGGACAGCCAACTTGCCAGCTATGCCCTCGTCACTGCCAAGACCTGTGTATTTGAGCACGACATGTAAGTTTAGAGCCAGCATCAGCACCATCCTCCTTCGACCAGCTACTGACATCGGACCAGGTCGGAAGGTGGTGGTGGCTATGGTCAGAACCTCGCCATGTGGGGTGCCACTGGCTCCGAGAGCCTCGGTGAGGCCAAGGCTGCCCAGCGTGCCATCACGGAGCAGTGGTACAACGGCGAAATCAACCTTTACCCCGGCTATGGCTTGTCCAGCCTTGACATGTCCAACTTCCTCTCGTGGGGTCACTTCTCCCAGTTGGTCTGGGTTGACTCCACCACTGTCGGCTGCGCCGTAAACTACTGTGCAGCCGGTACCCTGAGCTCCATTGGCAGCTGGTACACCGTCTGCAACTACAAGTCCCAGGGTCAGTATTCTTACCTGGTCTCTGATCTCTATCAACGCGCTAACTCGGCCCAGGTAACGTCATCGGCAAGTTCGCTCAGAACGTCCTGCCTCCTCGCAATGCTGCTTCCGTCTACGCTGCTTAAGCGGCGCGACGAGCTGTCGAGCGTTCTTGGGTGAATCCGATGGACTACACTTGCACCCTTTCGTCCTGCCTCCTTGAAGCATGGATGTGTCTTGGTTTGCGACATGGCCGCTAGGTACGAGTGCGGATGATCTAGCGAGCCTCTTCTTTTTCTTTTCACTTCTATCGCTGTACTTTACTGGGAGATCGCTTGACTTTATCGGTCTCCTTGTCGTCTCCGGCACCATTTGAATCGGGCCCTTTGGTCGCCCGTGAATGGCATGGTTACATTTCTTCATACCAACTTCCATTCGGCACTTGCGCGCCATTGGTAGATACTTTCCAGTCTTACCTTGGTGGCTAGGAACATGTTTCAAGGACACTGAACATTGATGATGATGCATTTACGGACCTGGAGTGGAATAAGAAAACTTTTGAGGGGGAGGTTACCAACCCACAATGGAATAGCGACTCTTCGATTCTTGGTCTGGTTGCCGTGGCAATTTCATCGAGGCTTCACTTTAGGACTTTTTATGGATCTGCCAGACGACCGAGACACGTTCATGACTCCTTTTGGTTCCTTGTACCTATGGTCCTCTTTTTGACTTGATTTTAGGGTTAGGGAGGCAGCTCAATGTGGCCGCGCCATGGTTCTCGCAATTCTTCCGGGAATTTGATCCTAGCGGTCATGCCAATCTGAAAACGTTACTGGGGGTGCCTTTTGTTTGTGTGTTTGCTGTCCTTGCCCCTGACATGCAGGAATCCCCGAGTGCTGGACAAGAAGAGTCCGGCCGGACAAGCGCAATTGTTTCCTCTCTTCCCTTTGTTGTGCCGTGTATCGTTGTAAAATCATGCCGGCTTGGCCGTCGTGTGTAACGTTCGACCCGAAGCGACGATTTGTGTACCGCTATCAGTAGGGAAGGACTTCGTCGAAGCAGCGGTAGGAGCTTGAGAACGAACGTAAGCGGGTTCATATTTTGGAGGGCATACAATGGCCGAGGCCTCGGTTTATAGTTATGAAGAGGCGGTTCGTTACCTATTCCTGTGAGATGCCCCCTCGCCCACGCGCACCCGCCACTTGATGGCGCGCGTGTTCTTGTGCCGGTGGTGGTGGTGGTGGTGGTGGTTGGGTGTATTGTGAAACGAGTGAGTGCTGCGGCTCATGGCTGTAAAGTAGATATGAGTTCAGATGATTTCAGGGGCTAAGAAGGTTGCTGAAGGCGAAGATCGTGATTCTCAGTCAACCTGCGACTTGGCACTATCGACATAGGGGATGCTTGGGAGATGGAAAGGGGGGACTCAAGGGGACGTCGGGGTTTTCGAGGCTCTTGGAAGTTTGTTGCTGATCGATCAGACGCTAGTACATAGAAAACCCCCATAGTAACCTCGAACACACGTATCTTTTCGCTTGAGACCACATACTCTGGAACTTGGGTTGCACACTCGTGTGCTTGAGTGGGGAGAATGCCTGCGCCACCTGGTCGAACAACTTGATGGTGAACGAAAGTTGCCCAGCTCTTCATGTAGGACTATAGCCGTGTCTCTGAGTATGCTTCTGTCACAGTTACGCCACAGATCTCATCACCCTCGGTTTCCACCTTTACCGTTCATCCAGCTGAAGACGCAACCAAGGAACCGCAGCGTGTACATGCGCGGGAAAAGGATGATGGGGTATGATCAACCCATCGAATGACTTTTTGGGCGTTTCTTGTTAATTCTATGCTGCGGTTATTGCTGACAGGGCGCTGCTTCGAGCATGTTCGCATATACTTACGATTAATCGCCTGGCACCCGTTGGCCAGTTACCCCCGTCTCTATCTGGAGGCTCCCCGGATCCCTGCCCGGGAAGCCGGGCTAAGACACGACGTGGGGCACCGGGCCGCACGCAAGGTTTGGACATGTACTAGAACGAAACTTGGCGAGGCACAATGGAGGACGGTGTCGTGAAAATGAGGAAATGTGTGACGGACGGGTTCCGGAGTGGACAGACCGCGGATGCTGGAATCGCTGGTTCTTGCGAGAATGGCATCGTCTCGACCGAGAACCTTACCGATTTCGGGGTTACAATGCTGACTTCACTTCATAGAAGTCCCACAGAGACCGCGGTTCCGGGCTCCTAGGCTCGGGGTTGTTGTTGTGGTGAGCTGTATTCCTAGGAGCAAGCTAGACCTCCTCGGCTCGGGCTGACTGACGGATGTGAAGTCAGGTGCCCGTGATCTAGAGAAGACGAAGGTCAAGAGTCTGATAGACAATTGACAAGACTATCACCGTGGCCAAGTTACAAACCCGCGAATAAGAGATGACCAGGTGAGGGAAGAAACTCTGATCCGCGCCGTGTCGAGAAGATGAGAGGCGCACAGTGGATTGGAACTGGGACGCGGGCGGCTCGTACGGCCACGGGGGACGTCGATTTACGATCGCAATCCCGTTTCTTACTGCAATTGGGACTCGCATCTATAGGATTGTCAAGATATTGCCACGGCAGACAGCGCTGACATGAGAATCATTTGCTTGGCGCGGAACACACTGAGATTACATGGAAATGGGATAGGGTCCGTAAGCCCAGCAGGCGAAAGCGAGTGAGATTCCTTTTTCGCCGTGAGGCGAACTTGTCGAAACATCCTCCCATAAGCTTATGTGAGCGTGGGAGCAGCACTGCAGTATGTGTGGCGACCCCACGCTGTCGAATGTATCCGATCCGTAGACCGGCTGGCCGATACCGCTCTCAGGCCAAGGGCTCACGGCGGGTCGGCGTTCGTCTTGGTTCTTAAGAAGTCTTGGAAAAGGCTTTGCAAAAGCTTAACCAGACCATTGCCGAAAGTCACTGTTGATCCTCTTCGACACAGAGGCTCGATGCCACAGGCACGCCACGCCCCGGATCTCGACATGGCTGTACTTATGATACGGCAGTTTATCTCTTCTCACATGACCTCCGTACCTCTTCGCCTCTTATCGTCACCGCGTTTCAGGAGACGGCCAGATAACTCGATGGCTTTACTTGACAGTGACACACACACACACACACACACAAAGAAAGACGACAAGAGGACCACATGCCAAGCTTCTGCGGAGATCTCAATCAATAATGGTCTGTGCAAAACCCTGCCTCCTCTCCACGCCATCCACACGCGTGGCGTTCTCTTATCTTTGCCCCCTGTCTGTAGTTCGTCCTCTGGACTGATAAACACCGCAAAGATTTGCAACCTCATTTCTGATGGTAAACGGTAACGATATCAGAGGGTGTGATCTAGCTGTTGACTCTCTCACTTTTCCCTTATCTATTCTTGGCCGCCGGCCGCCTCCACCCCGGGGTTACCGTGACCGATCCTCGCACCTCTGAGCTCTGATGCCATCTAGGGAATTTATCACAAGCTTTATCCGCTTTTGGCGGCCGCGTCTGTCGAAGCCCAAAGGCGGGTTACTCTGGCTGTGCATTCTACCGGCCACTGACTGTGACTGGCTGATCTGGCTCACCTTTGGTCTTCAACAGTGAGAACTATCTATGCACTATTGCACACTCCAAAGTGGCCAATCAACCTTCTATATCGCGTTTTTTTGTAGTTCCCCATGTTCCATCAAAGATCTCAGGGCAATGAGAAGTCATCGGCAATCGAGCTCTTAGGGGGAACCATCGATGTCCACCCAGCGGCGAATGGTAGGGTTTCCACCGCTACGAGCGTAGTGTAGCATCCTCTCAGCCAAAATCTCCATGAAAGATGTCGTCCCACCGTATCAAGGCCCCCGCTTGGAAATAAAGGACGGCACCCCGAATAAGCGTCCGTCTGACACCCGAGTGGCTGCAGATCCCTAAACGTTTGTCCAGAAACGGCTCGCTGTCATTGGCCCGGAAGGATGCACACTGCAGCGAGCCGCTACTCCATTTCTATGACTGATTGAATTTCGGCCTTATCTCTGACCTGCATTCCAGAGGCTTTTGGGTGGCTGTCTGACTAGGGATATACCGTTTTGCTTTTCAGAAGCTTCGTATCAACAAGCCTGCGAATTAAGGTCGGTTTGCAATCTCAGTGTTCTGGGTCTAACCATGCATGCTGCCCCCTCCCCCCCCCCTCTGATACTACTATCCCAGCCATCTCACGCCATGGCACGAGTCCCAAGCAGTTCGGCGGCGGTATCTTCCAGATCGAGTGGGGGCCAGAACCACGGCTTTGTTCTTATTGAATGAGAGTCCTGACACATGGGACAGGGTGACGACAGTTGGATCTCCGATAGCCGTAGGTCAGTACTCGGCTGTCGATGCTGCCGCCGGCCAAGCTGTCAACCTGTCTGGGGGAACTGAGTGCATACATACATATAAGTCCGTGAGCCCAGGCCCGTCATGCCGGGATTCAGAGATCAAGCCCGCAGCTGCTTGCTCCGCCACAGCATACAACCGTAGTCTGATTTCCCGACGAATTGGCCCAAGATGGTGACCGCAGCTCTCAGCCAGGGCGTCGGCTACGGCATTGTCCTCGGCCTGGGCTTGCTATTCGCCATTGGCATGGTAGGCCACATCCCTGATATGCGCTTGTTTAGCCATGTGTTGACACCCGGTCGCAGATCGCCACCACCTATGTCCTCAAGCGATACAACAGGGAGCTGCAGACTTCCGAGAACTTCACGACGGCCGGAAGGACGGTCAAGTCCGGCCTCGTCGGCTCCGCGGTCGTCTCATCCTGGACATGGGCCGCCACGCTCCTCCAGTCCTCCGGCGTGTGCTACCGGTACGGAGTCTCTGGCCCGTTCTGGTACGCCTCGGGCGCCACCGTTCAGATCCTCCTCTTTGCGACGCTCGCCATTGAGCTCAAGCGCAGGGCGCCCAATGCTCATACGTTCCTCGAGGTCATCAAGGCGAGGTATGGCACGGCCACGCATCTCGTCTTCATCGTTTTCGGCCTGATGACCAACATCCTGGTCACCCTGATGCTGATCGTGGGTGGTGCGGCGACCGTCAACGCACTCACTGGCATGTAAGTCGTGACAGTCCGGTCCCAGATTGTCTGCGAGAGGTCATTTTGGCTGACCCTTGAACTTCACAGGCACACCGTCGCCGCAATTTACCTGCTACCCGTCGGTGTTGTCGCCTACACGCTTGTCGGAGGACTGAAAGCGACCTTCCTCACCGATTGGGTCCACACCTTCATCCTGCTCATCATCATAATCATCTTCTCTTTGACGACGTACGCCAACTCGGACGTGCTCGGCAGCCCCTCCAAAGTCTACGACCTCCTCGTCGAGGCTGCCTTCAGACACCCCGTCTCGGGCAATGCCGAGGGCTCGTACTTGACGATGAAGTCGCAGGGTGGCGTCGAGTTCTTCGTCATCAATATCGGTGAGTACTCCCGGGGGGTCCTGGCCTCCACTGCCACCGTTTCGGGTGTCCCGAGGTTTCCTAACGTCAACAGTGGGCAACTTTGGCACCGTCTTCCTGGACAACGGCTACTACAACAAGGCCATCGCCGCGTCTCCCGTCCACGCTCTCCCCGGTTACATCCTCGGCGGCCTCTCGTGGTTCGCCATCCCCTGGCTGACGGCCACGACCATGGGCCTCTCGGCCCTGGCCCTCGAGTCGAGCCCGCGCTTCCCGACCTTCCCCAACCGCATGACCGACGCCGAGGTTTCCGCCGGTCTGGCCCTCCCCTACGCCGCTGTCACTCTCCTCGGCAAGGGCGGCGCAGCGGCGACCCTGCTGATGATCTTCATGGCCGTCACCTCGGCCTCGTCCGCCGAGCTCATCGCCGTGTCCTCCATCTTCACCTACGACATCTACCGGACCTACTTCAAGCCCGACGCCAGCGGCAAGCGCCTCATCTACATGTCCCACGTTGTCGTCGTCGTGTACGCCATCGTCATCAGCTCCGTCTCCGTGGGCCTCTACTACAACGGCATCTCCATGGGATACCTCTACCTGCTCATGGGCGTCCTCATCTCCGCCGCCGTGCTCCCTGCCACCCTGACCCTCGTCTGGAAGGGCCAGAACAAGTGGGCGGCGACGCTCTCGCCCATCATCGGCACCGTCTTCGCCATCATCGGCTGGCTCGTCACTGCCAAGAAGACGTGCGGCGTCCTCGACGTGGCGTGCACGGGCTCCAACAGCCCGATGCTGGCCGGCAACGTCATCGCCCTGCTCTCCCCGCTTGTGCTGATCCCGATCTTCACGCTGGCCTTTGGCATCGACAAGTACGACTGGAAGTCGATGATGGCCATCCGCAGGGGCGACGACCATGACCTGGCCAGCGCTGCCGGCCTGGACCTGGAGGAAGTCACGGGACACCACGAGTCGCAGGCGGACTTTGAGCGGGAGCAGGCGATGTTGTCTCGCGCGTTTCAGATATCTGTCTCCATGACGGTGTTCATGTAAGTTGCCGATGCCGGATCTGCTTCTCTTTTTTCTTCTTTTTTTTTCTCTTCGCCATTGATGAGGGATGCTAACAGTGGAATAGGACCATTGCGATGCTCATCCTGTGGCCGATGCCCATGTACGGCTCCGGTTACATCTTCAGCAAGCCCTTCTTCACCGGCTGGGTCGTGGTCGGCATCCTCTGGATTTTCTGCTCCTTTTTCGCCGTCGGCCTGTATCCCATCTTTGAGGGCCGCGCGACGCTTATCCACACGGTCAAGTCGATGGTGTCCGGCAAGAAGCCGACGCGGCACAGCACTACCGTTACGCACGGCGAGCAGGAGGTCACGGAGAAGACGAGCCTCGGGACCGTCACACCGGAGAAGAAGGACGGAGGCAAGGAGACGATCTCGTCGTGATCGACTCGAGAGACTGTTTGAGAAAAGGCCCGATAAATGATGCTTGCATGAATGAAGGAAGAGAGAGAGGGGGGGGGGGGGGTGGGGGTGCCGCGGTTCGGAGTTGTGATTGCACTATACCCTCGTTTACATACCAATTGTTCTTCAAGGAAAAACGATATCCAGGATTTTTAGGAAAGTAATAGGAAAACCAAACACAAGGAGTACCGAATGCCTTGGAGTAAACCGGGCGTTTCTTCGGAACGCCATCGAAGTGCCCTGTTTCTTGTTCATGGATGCAGGTGGTGTAGCCTCACCCTGCTATCGTCCTGCAATCCATGGACCCTCGGTTTTCACAGGTGATTACTAGACCAATAATGCGTACCTATGCCGATGGATGTGTAAAGCAATGTGTTGTGAAGAGATAATGGCGAGGCTTACTAATACATGTTCGCCCGGTTTCACGGTCCCGGGACGCGGAAGGGGGGAGGGGAGACTCCGCTTGGTACGCGGCCTTCCTGATCGGGACGCTGTGCCTCCCCCCCGCCATCCTACCCAAACCTCCAAAGCTCCCACTATAAAACGTTAGCTAAGGGTGCTTGAGTCTCATCCTCGCATTGACATCTTCATTGTTTCATCAAGACGGCGGCTCGCTTTGCCGCTCATCATCGGTTGATTGTATAATTTTATCCTTGGAGAACCCCCGAATCGGAGGAGAAAGCCAAACAGAAAGAAAATGGTCCGGCTCACGTCCCTGGCGGTCTCCGGGCTCGCTCTATTTACCGGAATCGCGTCGGCGGTCGCGACGCAGAGAGACGTCGAGTCGCCCGAATTCACCACCTTCTCGGTCCCCGAACACCCGCACCACGCGATACGCATTAAGGAGCAGAGTGACGAAATCTGCGATGCGGGCTCGAGGCAGTGGACCGGCTGGCTGGACACTGGCGGAAAGCATCTGTTCTTTTGTAAGTGGCTGCGTCGCACGGCAGTCCTGGACCCCCGTTACTAAAAACCACGTTTGATAGGGTACTTTGAGAGTCTGAACGATCCGGAGAAGGATCCTCTCAGCCTGTGGATGACGGGCGGCCCAGGTGGCAGCGGCCTCGTTGGTACGTGAACCCTCGTCTCTATCGACTTGGTTATCAATGGTAGGAGGGACTCGACCTGACCCGACCACTAGGTCTCATGCTTGAATTGGGGCCCTGCCTGATCAACGACAACGGCACGGGCACTGTTCACAACCCATATGCCTGGAACAGCAACTCGTCCATGATCTTTGTCGACCAGCCTGCCGGCACGGGGCTCTCCTACTTCGACAAGGGCGTCACCCCGCCCGCGACGTCCTATACGGCCGCCGAGGACATGAACATCTTCCTCCGCATCTTCTACAAGGCCTTCCCGCACCTGGCCACCCGGCCCTTCCACATCGTCGGCGAGAGCTACGGCGGCCACTACATCCCGACGCTCGCCGCCGAGATCGTGCGCTACAACACCGGGTCCCCGGCCCCCGACTTCAAGGTCCCGCTGGCGTCCGTGATGATCGGCAACGGCTACGTCTCGCCCGCCGACACGACCTGGGGCTTCTACGACACGCTGTGCACGACGAAGCCCGGCGTGCCCGAGCCCGTCTTCAACGCCAGCAGCTGCGCCAAGATTGCCGCCGCGCTGCCGCGTTGCATGTACCTCCAGGAGGCGTGCTACAAGTACCCGGACCCCATCGTCTGCCACGCCGCAGGCGACTTTTGCTTCCAGAACATCGACATACTGTATTACCAGGACGTCAAGCCGGGCGGGCGGAACCCGTACGACATCACGCGGCCGTGCGAGACGGAGAACATCTGCTACGGCGCTGGCGAGGGCATCGAGACATACATGAACTCGGACCGGATCCGGGCCGCGCTCGAGATCCCCGCGGGAGTTGGCCGGAACTTCAGCCTCATCTCGTGGGAGACCAACCGCGCGTTCGACCTCGCGGGCGACATGTCCATTTCCACCGAGACGGAGGTTAAGTACATGATGGAGTCGGGCGTCGACGTGCTCATCTATAACGGTGATCTCGACCTTGCATGCAACACGGCGGGCAACGTCCGGTGGACCAACAGGCTGTCGTGGGCCGGGCAGGTCGAGTTCAACGCCAAGGAGTTCGAGCCCTGGTTCGCGGTCAAGGGCGGGGAGAGGGTGCGCGGGGGCAAGTGGAAGCAGGTGACGAAGCCGACGAGGGGCGGCAAGGAGACACGGTTCACGTTCGTGACAATCGATGGGTCAGGACACATGGTGCCGCTGGACCAGCCCGAAGTCGGGCTGGAGATGGTGAGGAACTGGCTGTATGGTGATTTCGGCAAGGCTACCGAGGGCGGTGTCGAGGTCAAGCTGGCCGGGAACGAGGAGCATTTTGTGTCGTTGGAGCTGTGAAAAGGGGCCGAGAGTAAGCCGGCCACACTCAATGATGGCCTGGGGCTAGCGGTGGAAAGTCGTCTTTTTGACGAAAAAGCTAACTAAACCGTAAAGGCACGGAACCATCACCCGTTATCTCGGACTGCTGTGCGGAGTACACTGATACAGATCTGGCGTGCCACTCAGGTTGTCGCCGGATCCATCGGCAAACGGCGATGGACAGCGAAATTACAAACTACATTTTGATACCCAAGTGCACTGAGCTCGCCGATTCGTAAGGTGGGGAGATTTGGACAGCCAGCCAAGGGGGCGGGCGGGTGGTGGGCTTTGACTTGTTGAGGGATTCGAAGGAGCGGGATGCCGGTTGATTCAGCGGGCACTCACTCGTTCAGCATCCCGCGTTCCACAAGGGTGGTGGAAACGGGGGGGGGGGGGGGGGGGCGGAGCCAATTATATCGAATACCAAATGGCATCGACGGACCACCAGTTCGATGCCGTGACGATGGCGGAGCATTGGACAACGGACCAGGGCTGTCTTCGGCCCGCGGTTGTCCTGCAGAGTACGGATAGAAGAAGGATTGCTTCAATCCCACCGAGTGACGGGCTGAAACGAACCGCCGAACACTCCATCATTGCACCACCGCCGAAGTCAGTCAACTGGTGAAGGAGCCTTGGACTGAAGAGCTGGTGTCTGGGTTGCTTTTGCCTGGGTTTGCGCCTAGGAGACGAACCGACCCTTACTCGCACTCGGGTAGTGTCAGGCACCGCCCCCTTCAGACTAGACGCAGACTACTACTGACTGCGTCCAGCGATAGGTTTTTATATCAGCAAGAGGCTGCACAGTAACGCGGTTCAGCTTCTGCTGAAACCTAGTATCCGTAGTAGTAACTAGGTACTACCTATAGTAGCTGAGTAGGTAGGCCGACGGCTGTGTCCACGCCCCGTAAGCCGAACCCTTGTTCAATATCGCTGCCGAAGGATCGCGGCCGCATCAACGAGACTCGGCAGCACCTCTCAGCGCCTGTAGAACAATGGGGATTTGCTTGGCCCTAATTTGAGCCCCGTCGCGCAACCCCCCCGGGTATAGTGCCGCATCCCAGTTTTATGCTTTTTCCTGCTGCCTAGTGTGTCTCCCTGGACATACAGAGTATCCCTATCCGTACTCCGTATCCGTACATGGCCTCCCTAACCCCCGGCTGGGGCTGGACGAGTCCCTACCTTTTTGTCTCGCGTGACTGGACAAGAGCTATGGGGTTCAGCGGCTAAGGTGTTGGATTGGAATTTTGAACAGTAAGTGGTCGGCTCGAATTCGTCGTGGGCCCCCTGGACGGCGTGAGCTGGATGGATCTTGTGGAAAAACCACAGTGCCTCCCATTGTCCCCTGCTTATCCTGCTCCGATTCCTCTCTTTTTCTCTCTTTTTGCCCTTCTACACTGCGCCGGCGTCTAAAGTTGTTCTTCTGGCTAGTTGCAAACAGCCTCATCATCGCAGGACCTGTTTGTCTTGGCGTGACATCCCGTACCCTGGTACTGGATACGCCTCTTACACGAGCGTCGCATTCCTACTAATACATCACCCACCACCAAACGGCGCCCCCGATTCCTCGCCTTCGCAGTCCTTCCACAGCCTACGCATAACAGACTCACTCGCTCTGAAAGATGGCGTCAACAAAAACGACGTACATCGCGTCAACATTTCCCGAAAACCCCCTCCCGACCGCAAACTTCTCACCGCCCGCCGCCTCGTGCTCCGGCATCTACCTCACAAACAATGTGTACGCCATCGACAACGACAAGAAATGTCTGCCTGACAAGTTCAACGGCGCCAGCACGGCCTTCTACTCCCCCGGAACCGCCTGCCCGACGGGCTACACCGCCCAGCCGCAGTGCTCTCGTAACGGCGGCGTCCGCTCCATCACCACCGTCACCTGCTGCCCCTACCGCGGCGATATGACGCTGTCCTGCGTCGAGGACGACATGACGCTCGCCGGTGTCTGGGAGACGCAGTTCTGCACATGGATGGCCGGTCCCGCCACCGTCGTCGACATCACGCGGACGGACGGTGGCAAAGTGGCCACGCAGGCTGTGACGATGAAGAACCGGGACGGCGTGAACGCGTGGGGTATCAGGATGGTCTACCAGGCGAGCGACCTCGTGCCGCAGACGACGTCGGCGGTGACGACAACCGCGGCGACGGGCACGACAGGGAGCGGCACGACGGCCGCCGCGACAGGCACGGGCACGGGAACCACAACGGGAGCGGGTCCCACCGCCACCGGCGGCGGTGACGGGGGCTTGGGCATTGGTGCCATCATCGGCATCGCGGTCGTCGTGCCAGTCGTCGTGATTGCGGCCCTCGTGGGCCTGTTCTTGTGGTGGAGGCGGCGGAAGCACCAGTACGCCGGCGTGAAGCCCGTCGACACGACACCGACGGCGCCCGAGATGGACGGGCAGTCGCCGATGAGCAGCGCATACGCGTACCAGCACCAGCACCAGCATCCACCGCCAGTGCAAGAGATGACGGGGACGAGCGTCGGGGAGTACTACAACAGCAACCACAAGGTGTTGACGAACCCAGGGGCGGGAAGAGACCACACACAGTTCAAGGCGTGGACGGAACCGGCGCATGTAGCAGAGCTGGGGACCGGGCAGGAGCCGACGGAGTTGCCCGCGGATAATGGCCGGAGGTAGCAGGAGGGGGGTGGCGCTGAGTGATTAGACGACGCCGAAAGATGGGCTGCGAGATGCTAAAGAAGGTAGAGAGAGAGGGAGGGTGGCGTAATGAAGAGGGAAAATGCTTGGGAGTTGGATATATCACTGCCGCCGGAGGTCTCGTTTCACACTAGCGAGGACGGCGTTATGATGCCCATTTTCATGGAGAGGCGCAACGGTATCAAGACGGGGTTCGCCGATGCAGACCATTTGGCCGCGATATTCGTACATATAAACCTGATTTTATGAAGAGCGTATGAATCCAAAAGAAGTCTAGATATCTGCCGAATGCGTAGCTGCACCTCCACTGTAGGCAACCTTAGCGGTGCGCAGAAAGTGTCTGCTGGTGGCCGTCTCCTATGGCCGCAGAAGAAGAAGTCTGCAGAAGGATGTATAACATGATTGATGTAAATAGGAACCCCCCCCCCGTGTTGGTATGTGAAAAAGGATGGACGGAATACGATGGACGGGAGAAACAAACAAAGCTGCTGCTCACACATACACACCGCCTACGGTTTCTGGCCGGGGGAAATTACCCCGCCACCCCGCCATCCATCCCGACCTGCAAAAAAATTCAATCTCGCTGCGGCGTGCCCATCCATCCTGCTTATCAAGCACCCAGAACACCCCTTTGACGATTAATAAAGCAAGTCTCTCGGCTTCCGCCCCTACATAATACGAAACGATACCCAGCGGTTCCCTCCCTCCGTTCGACGCCATACAAGCCAGACCACCTCTCACGACAAAAGCAAACAGTCAACCTCGAGCAGGCGCATTACATCGGAAAAGCGCGAAACCACCTGCGGCGCGCGCAAAGGAACCCGGAAACAAAAGGGACAAAAACGTACCTCAAGAAGAGCAACACGAAGAAGAGGAACCCCCAAGAAACACATAAGACGAAATGTCCGCCCCCAAGGACAACAACACTCCTCAGGATGACGGCCACGAGTCGGAGCCCGAGATGCTCGGGGCCGACGAGGTTGGCGAGGAGGTCGACGTCGACGAGGAGGACGTGCCCATGGACTCGGACGACGAGAACGAGGAGATAAACCTGCAGAACGACTCGGTCGCCTATTTCGACGGCCACAAGGACTCCGTCTTCACCATAGCCCAGCACCCCGTCCACCCGACGCTGGTCGCCACGGGCGGCTCCGAGGGCGACGGCGACGACGCCCCCGGCAAGGGCTACCTCATCTCCACCGCCGCCGCCGCCTCCCGCCCCGTCCTGCCGGCCTCGTACTCGGGCGACGCCGCGCCGCAGCAGAGCACCGCCCTCGAGAGCATCTACGCCATCGACGGCCACACCGACTCCATCAACGCCCTCGCCTTCACCCTGCCGCGCGGCGACTTCCTCGTCAGCGGCGGCATGGACGGCAAGCTCCGCGTCCACGCCCTGCGCGTCAACTCGCCCACCGCCGAGGCCGCCAGCGTCCAGATCAAGTTCATCGCCGAGGCCCAGGAGGTGCCCGAGATCAACTGGATCGCCCCCTGCCCGTCCCCGCGCTACCCCAACACCATCGCCATCGGCGCCAGCGACAACTCGGTCTGGGTCTACACCATCGACATCGCCGCCGCCGCCGGCGACCCGGCCAACGCCCTGCAGATCGTCCAGACCTACTGGCTGCACCAGGCGCCCGTCACCGCCGGCGCCTGGACCCCCGACGGCAACCTGCTGTGCACCGTCGCCGAGGACTCGAGCCTGTACGTGTGGGACGTGTGGGGCGAGGCCGCCGCCGCGGGCCTCGTCGAGAGCAACGGCCAGACGACGGTGAGCATGACGGGCGACGACCAGCGCTTCGAGGTCGAGGGCGGGCTCTACAGCGTCGCCGTCGACCCCAAAGGGCGCGCTGGTGGACGTCGGCGGCGCCGGCGACGCCATCCGCATCTACAGCCTGCCGCGGCTCGCGAGCAGCGGTTAATTTGGCTCCGAGGGCTATAAACACGTTCTAGGTCACGTTTCTGTCTGCGTCTAGAGCTTATCGTTGACGTCTGTTTGCCCAGAAAAGGTGGTTCGGTGACGCCAAAAGCCGGACAGCATCGGAGCGCTGAGCTTCACGACGGCGGCAGGTCGGGCCGGGCCAGGTCTCGACGCTGCTGGACGGACCGGTCGGTGGACGGCCAATACCCTGCACTGAACTTGCTCCAAGGTTTTAT